CCTGAATTGGTTCCCAGCACCCACATGGTGGCTCACAACCATCCATAATGCCAAATCCACAGAAGCCAAGGTCCTCTTCTAACCTCTGCAGGGACCAAGCAGGTACATGTTACACAGACATGCATGCAGGTATAACTGAATAAACATAAAATAAATAAATCTAATATTTAGAAGTTTAATAAATAAATATATACATATATATACATATATACATATATACATATATACATATACATATACATATACATACACCTGCCAGGGCCTAATGTACCCAGATGCCATAGAAATACAATCCAGTCAGCACAAGAGAATAGGCCTACCCTTATCCTACCCTTATTGCCCTATACATAAAAAACTGTTCATCCACTTCTTCAGACACGGATGGAAAGGGTGAACAGCATTTGGGAATCAGTATCAACCTGTTTACAGGAGCACAGAGGAGTGAGTTTTCCTAACACTTTCCAAAGAAAGTGTCCTGGAGGAGGTAGTAAGAGAAATTTCTCCTAAATTGGGGATCTTGAAGGTCTTTTCAAGGCCCATGTGTCAAAGTCATGGTCAGAGTATTATAATTAGGAGGTAGTGAGACCTTCAGAGCAGAGCCTGACCTAATAGGACAAGAACATCTTTTATCATCTATTTACCTGTTGATAGACACCTAGGCTGATACCATTCTTACTCCTTCGTGCCCTCGAATTCTTAGAAATGACACACAAAACCCAGATTTTAAAACACATACCTAAAAAGTGTGAAAAGCAGAAATAATGCAGAAGCTATTGTACTTTTTAAAGTGTCTAAACCTAATCACCTAATGAGTTGTCTCGTGCTTATCCATAAGATTATATTAATGAATAACTCAAAGATATTTAAATGGAGCATCAGAGACTATTGTCTCAAATCACAGCTGCCTCAAAAAAGAAAATGGAACTGGGCGAGTAGAACCGTTTGTTCTACTTGAGTCATCTAGCCTAAATAATTTAAGCATGCACCAAAATTCATCAATGTACCGTAATGATGTCCATGGCCATATCATTTTCTAACACTTTTCTGAGAATGTCTCATTTGTTGGGGTAGTTTTAAAACACAGGAAACAAGCAGCACCCAGCCTCTTGGCTGACTGGTTCAAGTTAGTATTTGTCAATTTCAGTATTAGAGAGACAGATTACGTGCAAGGGGAAAACAGGGTGAAAGACCTCTCTTTAGAGAAGCAAGCAAGCCCCAGAAAGACAAATGGTGATTATAATTTTGAAACCTAGGTACATGACATGCATGAACATGGGGACCAGCTCCAATGAAAGTGCAGAATGGGAGGGAGCTAGAGGGTCCAGGAGACTCAGGAGTAGGAGAACACTCTTTCTGTCAGGACTTCAAGTCTGCAAAGTCTAGAGGGTTTTAGATTTTTTTTTTCCAAAATGGAGTTAAAAAACTAAAAAGAATTTCAAACCTTTTCCTCTCTTTTTAGAAAACAGATGTGATGTTCTCCCATGGTCAACAATAAACTCAGACAGGCTGCTTTTGTATAGTTCAGGTTCTGTACAGGTCCTGTACAGACTATGGTACAGCTTTAAGACTCAAATGAAAACCATTTCATGTCTGAGGTCACACTAGTCACAATTAATTAGCTGATACAAGAATATTGCCTTCATTTAAAACCAAGTTTTGGGTTTGTTTTTAAATGAGAATTGAGCAAATGTTACTGTTTGGGTGTTGCCGTTGTTGTTGTTGTTGTTGTTATATTGTTTGTTCATTTGCACTGCATTGCAACCAAGGTCTCTTCCAGAAGAGAATTTGACGAACTACCACAGAGCAAAAATGGGAATATGAAACAGATCATAGTTTCTGATAAGAATGATAGCAAATGAATACACAGAAAACCTCCTTTCACATCATGTGAAATATTACCAGTGTCTCACTTAAGGTGGACAGTTGAAGGCTTCTGGAATTGAAAATGGAAAGCCAAGGACCAGTTAGCCTTCCGCCATCTTAATCTGTAGGTACAACAAACAAGCTTTTTTTGAAGATTAACTCGACGTCTGAGAAAAACTGGGGATAGCACCAAGTAAGTATCTATTAAGACACAAACATGTCTGTAATTGGTATTCCAGGTGTTTTCTCTTCCTTGTGCAAAGGCTGTCTCCAATGTTTTTAATGCAGGCGCTCTCCCAGTGCAAGTAAATCAAACAAGTATTAAAACTAATCCTTTAAAATTTAATGCCAGAATAACTGACCATAGGTACATTATAATTCCATTATTTATTTAACATCTAGATATATGAAAATGTATTTATACTTTAATGTTTAAGATATGCCAAAGCTATGTGCATATGTATTTTCTAAAAAATCTAGACAGTTCCTAATTTAAGAAATTAAAGGATTGTCCATTTAAGTATCTTTAAAACTAAAACTAATCTTTAAAAAGAAAAGCAAAGCTCTAACCATTTTCAGTCACTACAAATGCAGCCCACATAAACATGCTCCTTTATGAGGTGGAAAAACAATGCTTAAAGAGAAAAAAACTTAATGTAAAAATGTTCCCGCTCCTCTCCACATAGGTAAGGTAGCACATAGCTGGGTTGCTAAGTTTCATTCATTTTTAAAATAGTGTTTGCATTGGGGTTTCCATGAACAGAGGTAGAAAACCAACAAGCCCCACCCACCCTTTCCAATTCCAGACTAACTCAAGGTCTCCCATAAACCACGAACACATTCCAAACCAGGATTTATCCGAGGTCCATAACAGGCCTGCCTTTAGGTGCTAATACAAATACTTTAGGGGGCTGGATTTAAAATACTCATCTTCAGGAAGACACATATCACAGATATCCAAGTCACCACCACTGAATCCTCCAGAACACCAGTGACTTTTACAATGAGACACATGACTTATTCTATGGTAGCAATTTTTGCTCTAAAAAGGTACTATGAGCATTATGTTACTGAAAATTTTCTTCCCTCACCCGTCAAATTCAACTTGTTCTCACATAGGTAACGATCAACCCTGTGCATCACACGGTTTTAAAAAAAAAAATCCCTATTTTAATGACTTGTGACAGTGCCGAGGAAAAGACATGCTTACAATAGAAACTGTAATTTATTATTTTATATATTATACTATCCACTCGAATATTCTTTAGGCTGTCTATGCCTCCTTTGATGTGGGGTAAGTTTTTTGTAACAATAGGAAGAGCAGTATGTTGTCCTTATGTCGGCACTAGAATATTAAAAATGGGCTGAAAGAAAAGGCGAGATGATAAACAAGTACTTTTTAATTGGCATTTATGTCTTGTAGAGTATCAATACCTAGGTCTGGGTTCCAAGCTATGACTAAGTGGTAAGGGTGTGCTTTCGAGCCTGCCGGCATGTGTCAGGTGTGTGTTGTGGGAGGTGAGGATTGAGCCACAGAAAGAAAGTGGTGTAACAATTGTCTTCAAGGAAGTTTTGTGTTGTTTTGTTTTGCTTTTGCGGTTGGTGGTGCTAGAACCCAAGGTCTTGTACAAGGTAGACACTCTACCATTGACCTACATCTTAAGCCAGGAAGCGTTCCTTTTGTTTTGTTGACTAGCTGTCCTTTATTATACATTTATTCTGCCCACTTCCTTTGAGGGAATGTCATAGTAAATTCTTGTTTTGTTTTTTAGTGGTGGTACCAATGCAGCAAATGGGGCAAACCAATTATATCTAGTGACAAATACTTAATTTTCCCAAACAAATAAACACACACACAACAACAACAACAACACACAGAAACTGTTTAATAAGTATTTCTCGCCTTTCCAGAGGTAAATGGAGAAAAAAAATACAGGCACCTACTCACAAGCCTGTCATCAGCAAACATCCCCAAGAACCATGTCTCAGTTAGCAACGGCCTGGGCAGGAAACGCAAAAAAAAGAAAAAAGAAAAAAAAAGAAAGAGAGAGAGAGAGAGAGAGAAAAGAAAACAAACAAACCATAGATTGGCTTCCCTGGCCCTCAGGGTTCCTCCCAGTTTGAAAACACCAGCTTTGACCAGATGCACTGTGAAGTGAAAGGACTAGAGACTCACTCTGCACCAGGCCATACCTAGGCTACCCTGCCAGGAGGCGCTGCGGGCCAGTCTCCAGGGGCCACCCGCAGGCCGCCCAGCCCCCACCCCCTGGCGGCGGAGCCCAGCCCAGCACCCGGGCTGCGAGTTCTGCGCTGCCCGCTGGGGTTACTTGCGGTCATTCGGCTGCACAACCTAGCCCCAGCTTCTTAATCGGTGCTCGGCCCGAAGTCTCCCCAAGGGACGACTAGCAAAAAGCAAGAAGATGGACCAGAGGTTGAGGATGAATTGGGCACCCCAGTTTCGGGTTTCTGCAGACTCTCGTAAGTTTTCTGCTTTTAGAAGGAACAAAAGTGGTCTCCCACCTTGTGCCAGGGGCTGCAGCGCTCCAGAGCACAGGAAGCCTGAGGGCAGGACCCCCGAGTCGAACAAAGCCCCGAGAACTCAAGCACGCAATAACACAAAAGATCCCGTTTAGGACAATTCCTACTAGAGTTCTTTGGAAACAAGGACACACCGCCCCAGTCCCGGGAAGAGGACCTCCAAGTCAGAGGCCAACACAAACCAGTTAAATAATGAAGTGGGGAGTCAGATGTGACACTTGTGGGCGATGGCCTACCTGGTTCCAGACAAAGGGAGACTCTTAGAAGAGGATCTCCATCTCCCTAGCCCAGTGGCTGTGTCCCTAGGACGCCCGGGAACCTTGGCTCTCACTGCGCCCGAGAGGCGAGTCTCCAACTCCAGAGATGCTCTCCCTGGTCTCCTATTAGGGGAGACCCGAGTGCTGCAGTTCTGCGTCCTAGGGTCGCCACGGCCTGTCCCATACCATTCTTTCCCCATTTATACCTCCCCTGCCCTATTTACATGCCCAGAATTAGGGGATGTGGGAGTTTGAGTCCCCCTGAAGTCCCCAAAACGGAGAGCTTCCCAAATCTTCCTTAGCCCCAAAACAAAACGCCCAAGTCACTGAAGAACCTCTTACCTGTTTTCCACTTTGCTGTTTGCGTCTGTTTCCCCAACCCCTGCACAAACACTTCCAGAAAGGGGGAGAAAAAGGGGGGGAACAGCTCCCCGAGCCGGCTGTGGCTGCGCGGGTCTCGCGGCGCCCCCTGCCCAGCTTTGCGCTGCGCGGCGGAGAGAGAAGTGGGCTCTGCTGGTCCAGGCCCGCTCGCCCGCCCTCGGAATTACTGGTTTTTGCCGCGACTAGTTCCTTTTATAGATTCGGCAGTGCCGAGCGCCGGGGTTACTACCGGTCAAACGCTGTTCTCTCCCTCTTTCCCCCGCCCCCTTCCCGGCCTCTGTTTATGTAGTTCAGTCACTCAGCAGAAAGCACGTGGAGCCATGGCCCGCCCCTTAAACCGGCGACAGTGCGCCGTGGCGTGCACCCGGGGCGCACGGTGCAAGCTTTGTGGGGTCCGCTTTCTTAGCCCCCGGCCCTGACCTACTAGCCTCAGGGAACGGGAAACTCCGGCTTGAGCTGAGCCAGGAACTCCGCATTCCCGGCAGAGGAGGGAAAGGGGGAAAAAAAACGCTTCCTCTAAACTCTTCTTTGCAATTGTTTGGGGTTTTGTGGGTGTTGCTCTTTGCGTTGTTTGTTTGTTTGTTTGTTTGTTTTGTGTATATGTGTGTGTGCTTTGTTCTCCCTCCCTCTTCCTCTCCCTCTCTCCTTTCCCCCTCCCCTTACTCCCTCTCTTCCCGTCTCCTTTTGTTTACTCGGCCCCCAGCTTGGGAAGGAAAGCTGACCCCACAGATGCCAGTCATTTTCCATCTCTTCCTTCTCCTCCTTTAAAAGCCCTAGATTGGAGGAAGGGGTGTGGAATGGACAGAGTGACTATCAGCCTATCTTGGCTTCAAACCTTTACTTTGGTTTTCTAAAGAAGATCTGCTATCTTCCAGAGTCCTAAACTGCACCTCCTACTCCCCACACCCCCCACTGGCAATAGGTGTCTGTAAACCACAAGAGGCAGCTGTGGTCAGAAGACTGGGTCTGATGATGTCAAATGACCAAAGTTGATGAAGTTTTTCTGCCTCTATTTTATTTGTTTTAATGGAGACAGTCTCATGAAGTCTGCTCATAAACGCAGTACCCTTGAATTCCCGATCCTCTTGCCTCCCAAGGCCTAAAATTACAGGAGCAGAGTACCACACCCAGATTCGTACAGTGCGGGAGATGGAAGCCAGCCTCTTGCACAGTAGGCAAGCATTCAGCCCGCTGAGCTACAGCCTCAGCTCTTGCCTGTCTCTCAAGAGAGAACGTTCTCTTTGTCTCTGAGTTTTCTGAAAGTGAATTTTGTTGGAACTTTTGAAGTCCTCGGAAGAAGAGCACCAAACCCAGAATCCTACGGACTGAACATCAGTGTCAATTTTTAGTGACATCTATACCCTATAAACTATATCCTGTGCCAGACTTTTAAAAGGCCAGTACTAGCAAAAAAATTTAAAATAATGTGTGTGACCATCTGTGTATAAAGAAAACTGCCTAAGGGGGAAAGGATCATTCTCCACAAGATTTTAGGAGGAGGTTAAGCCTTTATTCAGCTCTCCTCATTTCCTCCAGATTCATAGCACTTAAAACACACATGCACATGCACACACTCTTTTTGTAGTTTGAAGGGTGTGGTATCCAAGAGTACTCCTATTAAATTCCGTTCCCAGCATCCACTTGATGGTTTACAACCATCTGTAACTCCAGTTACAGGAGATCTGACCCCATATTCTGGCCTCCACAGGCACCAGGGGTGTATGTGGTACACACACATGCATACGGGCAAAACGCTCATGTACATAAATCTCTCTCTCTTTTCTATCTTAATAAAAGCTAACTTCCTGGGTTTCTCTAATAGGGAGTAGGTGACATTTAAGTGCTACACAAATTAGGTAGTTAGGAGGCAGAGAAAGAAGAAAGACTAGGAAGGAAGAAGCCCCAGGCAGAGCATCCTGGGATCCTCACTATATGAAGGCAATGACCCTGAAACCCAACTGATCTGTTTAACTAAGAACCCCTATAGGGTTAGGACTCTGCCCCTACTCAACTCTCACTGCAATAAATGTACAAACATACTGCAGTGTTGGGAGCGTGTGTGTGCATTTTGTAAATCTCTACCTTAAACCACTACAAAGGTCAAGTGCTTCATCCAAGTTACTCCCGAGATTAGTCTGTTGACACCGAGTGACATGACCTGACAGCGGGACAGCATCTTATCAATTGCGGGATTTCAACAGTTAGAACTTAGATGAGATCACACTTAAGAAAGAAAGAGGGTTTCAAAGCGGGAATCTCCCCATCCTTTGAGTGCCCCCTGGTTAGTTTGTTCCTGAGCATACTTTGAAGAGCTTCCCCTACCACATCTCGTGATGTATAACACCTTCACCAAAACCCCCAACCTTGTCCGAGAAAGTCCTTTCTACATAGGTGGGAAGGCCTCTCTTCGTCACTGTTGCTCTGGAGCAGTGGATTCCATACACGTGGTGGCTTGAGGTTCTACTCTGAGATGACCCTGGGATCTTCTAATAAGGACTTGACCTTCAGGCAGCTGTGGCTATACTGACCTTGCTAGAGAGGTCATGGAGATACAAGAAGCTCAGTTTTCTCATCCTATGAAGGCTTTTAAATCAAGACTCCCTGAAAGGCAGTGCTTGGGGGATAGTTTTAATACATATCCAGAAGCCAGTCTACAGTCTACAAACAAACACCTTATTTAAAATAGAGAAGAATTCTTTCTATGTTTCTTGCCTGAGAGACCTACTATTTGGTTCTTGGCAGCTGAAAATATAGGACACTGCAGAAAGTCAATGAAACTTTTCTAAAAACATAAAATGATTTTTCAAAATGAATTTGTAGTGATTAAGAAGACCTACTGGGGGCTGGAGAGATGGCTCAGCCATTAAAGGTTAGGCTCACAACCAAAAATGTAAGAAAACCTACTGGTCAGAACATTGGAGAATGAGATATAGCTCAAAAATTCGAAAAAGAAGACTAGAGAGATGTCTCAATCAGTAAAGTAGGTACCATGCAAGCATGAGAGCTGAGTTCACATCCACAGAACCCATGTAAAAAGCCAGATGTGGTATACCAGTAATCCCAGCATCGGAGAGGTGGGGACAGAAGACGGATGGAGCCAGCTGGCCAGCCTGTCTAGCAGAATCAACGAGAAACTGTGACAATAAATAAGTAAATAATTAATAAATAAAGTGAAGAGAAATTGATTGAAGATTCCTGATGTTGATCTCTAGCTTTGAAATACACACACGGATGCATGCACACACGCATGCACCAGCATGAGGACTCACACTGGCACACATCTCCCTCCCCTAATTAGTAACTCATCTTCAATGAAGAGAGATGAAAAGACTTATAGTTCACATTTGAATCAGCTTAATTCCAATACATCTTTAGACACAGGGAAAAAAAATCCTCACACTACGAGTGATCAAATGAGAAAATCCAAGTGCCAGCTATACAGGTGGAACAAGCTCTAAACCATGTAGACTCCGAATGCAGTGTGGTTTCTTTTGAGTGGACGAATGAGATCTCTTCTGTATTAATGTAGATTCTATTAACACCCAAGCAAGATCTAACACTGTTTCTATTGTGTCCTTGAGAAACATATATTTGCAGGGTTTTGTTATGGTCAACCAGTTAGTCCAATTTGTAAATAGAAATATTCCCTAAGCATCAGGCAAAAAGTGAGTTATACTTTTTCTTAAATGCTGCAGTTCCAATCTGCCTCTTCCAAATTACCCCTTTTTTAACATAACAGGAAAGTTTTAATTGTCTCTTTCTTGTCTTCCATTAAATTCCCCATGGTGCCAGGCTATTCTGTCCAAGTTAGTGAACAGAGGATTGAGAATCTCTCTTTATTATTGCAGAAAATACACAGAAAAATACCTCACACAAAATGCAGTCAGACAGCTTATAACTATTAATGTTGAAGACCTCTTTTAGGTCCTTAGGCTATTTAATTTCTGATATTTGACACTGGTAGCCACACCTGCCTTCCTAAAACAAGTTCTAAGTTTCATGAATCTGGTTCTCTTCTGGCTATTTTGCCTTTTTTCTTTAATTAATTAATTAATGAATTATTATTACTAATTCACTTTACATCCCACTCACTGTCCCTGTGGTCATTCCCCTCCCACAGACCTTTCCCCATCCTCCCTCCCTTTCTCCTCTGAGGCAGTAAGGTCCCCCTGGGTATCCCCCTGGCACTTCAAGTCTCTGAGGCTAGATGCTTCCTCTCCCAGTGAGTTATCTAACTCCTCTCTTTCTCTCTCTCTCTCTCTCTCTCTCTCTCTCTCTCTCCCTCCCTCCCTCTCTCTCTCTCTCTCATGCACACGCACACGCACACGCACACGCACACACCAGCAATTGGCATCCATAGGGCTAACTTGAAATTGTCAGTATTAAAAAGATTTATACCATTAGAGATTATAAATCAAGCTGGGCGGTGGTGGCACACGCCTTTAATCCCAGCACTTGGGAGGCAGAGGCAGGAGGATTTCTGAGTTCAAGGCCAGCCTGGTCTACAGAGCGAGTTCCAGGACAGCCAGGGCTACACAAAGAAACCCCGTCTCAAAAAAACCAAAAAAAAGAAAAAAAGAAAAAAGAAATTATAAATCAGAGTTTGCTTGCTTGATTTTTCTTTTTCATTCTTCTGAGCTTTGACTTAGTTTTTACTTTTGTTTTCCTTAGGAAAGCCTCTTGTTAACATTTATCAGCACAAAATGATAAAGACATTCTGCAAGTTACTATCTCCCTCAAAAAAGACAACCCCAAAGTTATCGTCTTCCCCTTAAATATCCCTATTTTACCTTCTTAACATCATTATCCAGTCAGCTACTCTGGGAAATCACAGTCTTTCTTAACACTTTTATCTCTGTCTTCATCTTTCTCTTCTCATTTGACAGAACATCATGGCCAGGCCAGGGGTACTGCCTACAAACCTTTTAAAGGTTTTGGTTCTTCTCCATCCCCAGTGTCTACTTCAAGACTGAAACGTGTCCTCCTGTATTCAAAGGCTGTTCCTTCCTGCCTAAAAGAAAATAGTTCACTTGAGGAGGAGTGGGAGGTTAACTAAATCACATACAACAATAACAATCACCCTGTGAAACCTCCCACCCCACCCCAGACACACATTTTCAAATGTCCTCAGCTTGCAAAAACAAACAAACAAAACAAAAACAAAAGAC